TACTTTAATATCTCGCTTTTCGCTTAAAAAGTCTACATTGTAAGATGGAATAAGTGGCGAAGACAAACAACTATGCGGTTGCATCTCCTAATTGATGCATTTTTTGTGTACATTGAATTGCCTTAACATTTTTCCAATTTTCTCGTGAGGGCCGACTATTTCTTGTAGCTTTGATGATTGTACTGGCTCTCGAGTAAAGGAAAATACTGATATTCATGCTATCGCGTGGAACGGCCGTGAAGCTGCTGAAATGGTTTTGTTTTGAAATCAGTCACAATGAATAGATTCAGAGTGCTTTTCTACCCTTACACTGGTGAGATGCCCTGAGTTTGTCGACTTTTTTCTTGTTACTTTGGAACAGATTCTTCGAAATCAACAAATGATAAACATAAAAGAATTTTCTTGGTTTATGTGGAGCATGCTGTTTTCTAGGAACTCAGACACGAGATTAAAAGGTCATATATCGCCTGGTATAAAGAACTTCGATTTCCATGAGTAATAATCACTATTCACAACAATTGCACAGCAAAAGAATTGTTAGTTCACAAGTATTTACAAGTCGTTTCTCGTTAGAACTCAAACATCCGCAATGTATTGGCCTTATTGACCCTTATTGAAGGTGGCGTTGGTCTCTGTGGATCGTTGTATCTCTCCGGTGCTCGTCTGTGTTATTTCGGGTTATTGTTTAGGTACAAATATCACCTATACTGAGTATTAACAGGTTAGTAAATTAAAGCGCATTTTTTCTCAGTTTTACTCATAAACCGATAGCTTAAATAACGATATATTTGCTCAGCATCAAGGTGAACAGCAGCATTTTGTCTTTCTAGTGAAAGATCTCCTCAGTGAGGTGCGTTGAGACGTTCTGTACGAGAGTTGAGAGATTATGTACGCATAGTTCATTTAAAACCCATGCAGCCTAACCGAATCCATTGGTATCATAACGAGCTTTTGTCTTGGCAAAAAGGAAACAATCGTAACTTTCCTTCACCTCACTTCGTCAAATGTCGTGGATCTCGCCATGAATCGGCAACTTGACGACTATGAATTCCATAAAATCAATTCTCCCATGTGCTCTTACATATGGCATCATCAGTGTTCTCGGGTTTCTAGGAATTCCCTCTGAAAATACTGAACCGAGGAGATTCACGGTTAATTTTTTTTTCTCATGTCATTGCATGCTTGATTCTTAGAAATTCCACTCAGATGTAGACAGCATAAAAGTATCAAATACTGTTACTTTTTAATTAAATACTTAACAGAAATACGTGTGGGAATTCTTTCATGTTGAAGCTTTGCAAAAATTAGAGTTAGTATATCTGATGTGCAAGTTGAAATTATTGTTGTCTTCATTCTTTAGGTATTATACCTTAGTTAAGCCACTTGAAGGGTTCACTAGTAAATTAAATGAGGACAGACTAAAGGAATGAAACAAATCTTTGATAAACATCAGAGATCGACTTGATTGAGAAGAATCTGTCTACAAGGAAGAATAAGCATGCGCCGGTTATTATATGTTTGTTTTTGTTTTGTATTTTACCTTTAAAGAGCTCTAAAGGACCTAAGTGTAAACGATTCATTGCGATTGGTAGATTAAGGATAAACAAGAATCCCAAATCAATTCAACTTGGTTCTTGCTTTTCACTTGTAAGTTTGAAGACGAGATAGTTCCCACGTCGAAGACAAACTAAGTAGTCACTTAGCATTAATGCCGTTGAATCTTTTAATTGTCGCAACCTTTGGGCACAATAACTTGCTTTAGAGTATAATCTCTTGTAAAAGGCCACAGTTCCCTTGAACATGGGAAATTTATAATCGAGTAAAGGAAAACACTTAGATCTATGCTACCTCGAGGAACGGCCGTGAAGTTGCTGAGATGGGTTTGGTTCAATGTGTTGCAGAAAAGACCTCAAAGTGCATTTCTAATCGTTCTAGTCTGATGGGATAATCTGAGTCTGTCAACCTTTTCCTGCAAATGGGAACCGATTTGATAAAGTGAACAAAAGATATTCATGAAACCTTTTTTAATTGTCTGGAGAAGACTATTTTCTGGAAATTTAATCATGTGATAAAAAGGTCCATGCAAATAGACTGATATAAACACATTGTTCCACGATGAGTTTTCACTATTCACGACAACTGAACAACAATAGAACTGTTACTTCACAAATTTTTGCAGTTCGTTTCTCTTTAGAAGAACTTAACCCTCTATATTATATTGGTCTTTGTTGAAGGAGGAGTTAGTCTGCGGATCGCTCTTTCTCTTCGCTTCATCGTTCTTCTGTGTTATTTCGGGTTATTGGTTAATGAAAAATATCACGCTTAAACTGAGAATTGCCAAATCAGAAACTAGAGCACAGTTGTATTATTCATCCTGAATTGTTTGCTCTGCATCGTAGCCAACAACAACACATTTGGAGACGTTACCATTTTCAAATCCACTGAAAAATAAATCGTGAGCTTTGTTCTCGGCGAGAGGAAACATTATCAAGTCTCCTTCATTTCACTCGCTCGGTCTTCAAATCTTTTGATTGGAATTTCGCCGTGGACCGTGGCAACTTGACGATGATCTGATGAATTCTTTGAAATTGATTCTTTTATGTACTTTAGCATTTCACGTATGCTCGTATTTCCAGGAATTCTCACTGAAATGGCTGAGCCCGAGGAGCTTTTTGGTTTAGTTTTTTTAGCATTATCACGTGCATCATTCTCAGAAATTCCACTTAAATGTACATAGCATAAAAGTTGCAAATGATGCTGCATATTGATTGTATGTTTCGAAAACTTTTTGCTATATAATACAGAACAAATACATGAAAGAATTCTTTCCTGTTGAAGTTTCGTAAAATTATAAGTTAATTAATTCTAAGATGCAAGTCAAAATTGTTGTCTTCATTCTCATTGCATAACATCACTGTAATGTCCTTTGGAGGGTTCACTAATCAGTGTAGTGAGGACAGACCAAATTTTAAAAAATGAAAAAAATCCAAGATAAACATTAGCGATGAAGATGTCTCTTAGTCTAATTCGAGAGATTCGGTTTACAGGAAAGGACCATGAAGCTTGCGCCGGATGTCGCATGTTTTCTTTTGCTTTTGTTTCATTTTGTCTTTTCTCGTTTAGTCTTCAACTTTTGAAGAGCTTTTGAGGGCTCAAGTGTTAAATTAAATAACGCGACTGATAGAGGAGGGACAATTGTGATTCTGCCTTCAAGCTGGCTCGCAATTTACCATAAATATCACCGTATCGATCCGAAATCCACACATTTCACGTTTACCTTTAGTTTGCTATTAGTGGTATTGACTTGTTCAAACGCCAAAATAATATTTATCATGCATAGATTCTTGGTGAAAGGCCTTAATATGAGAGACACGCCGACAATCAATGGCGTCCAAACGACTAAGAGCTAATGCTGCTCTATTTTCATTTTCATTATCCAAAATGCCACTTAAATTGTATTTAAGGCTTTACACACGGCAAGTACGCCTCAGAGGGTCCCGAAGGGCCTACATTTAATTTATTGGGTCAAATTACATGAGTCTTAATTTCAACAGAATGGCCTTGATTAAAAGTTTCTTTAAAATATATTGTAGGACGCATATAATGGCAGAAGAAACCCTATTACAAAAAATTATAAGCGGCATTGTGGCAAAACTCAGCAGATTCGGCATAACCATCAGAAGAGAGGACCTGCGAGTGATTTCCCAACTGACGGCATACTTGCGTAGTACGAACACGGGTGAAGGAGAAAATGTAATCGATAGAGAACGTTTACCAGGAGAAGCAGGAATCGACGAAGACATAGAATCAATCAGTCAAATGATTTCCCTTCTTCATAACGCATTCCTTTCCGGTGAGGCTGAGGGAGCGGAAGTAACGCCTTCAATACAGGAGCCTGGAGAATTAGAGTCAGTTATCCGCCAGTTTCAGTTCTATATCAATATTGCCCAACAAATGAGAAGCGAGGTACAGGAAGTTCATTTAGTTATCCTCACAGAACTTAAAACGTCTGCGTATGTCACAAATACTCCCATGAATCCATAGCAACAGTATATATTAATTAAAACGGCGGTAGTTTTACACTTGTTGAAAGCCTCGACACTCATTATCCATCCATCAACCGCTATTTAGGGAACTTAAACAGACTATTGTTGAGGACCGCCCAACACATCAAAAGTGCAAGGCTGCTAAATTTCAGCAAGTTTTCAAGGATAAAGGGATGGTGTGCGAAGGCCGATTTCGTCCCCTTATTAAAGGGCAGTCTTCCGAACGTTTTAAGTTTAACCTAGGGAGAAAACTGCGCTGCCTTTCAATTTCTCAAAAACTTGTCCATATTGGTCTAATGTTGATATCGCTTTAAGTGTAAGCCCGCGGTAATTACTAACATGCTTAGACCTTTTTCTCGCTCTGTCAGTCATCCTCACATATTGTTATACATCCAGCTAATAGACTCATCTTCGTGCAATCTTCATTTTTTATTACTATTCTCGTAGATCCCTGAAACAAGGGTGCAACAGCTTGGACCTTTGTTGGATACGGATACAGAACGAATAAGACAGCAAGCAATGGGATTGAATAAAGCGCTGGAGATGTGGAAATCCTTCATTGATAAGGCAAACGATATCCTTACCCAGATTTCAGCAATCATCAATAGGAGTGATGTGATAGGAAATGAAGAGAGAGGGCTGTTAGCTAGGTACGATGACTATAATAATGAACTTCAAGCAATAAAGCGCGAGTACGAGCGAATAAATGCCATATGGGAAGGTATTAGACGAGATCCTTCATTCATTCAGTCGAACTTATGGATGAGGTGCATTTTGATTTAGTATGCCTTACACCTTGCCTGGCTTTTGGAAATGATGTAATAGTAGATGAAGTTATTTGACTATTTTTCTGCTATGTCCTGTTGTTTGCCTTTTATTGGCTTGCATATAATGCTTAATAAAACTACAATGCTTTGTACATTTTTTGTAGCAGGCTTGTTGTTGTTGTATGATATCTTTTTTGACTTTTTGGCTTTTCAGTCCACAAGGGCATTATATTTATCATTCTGAGATGACTGCCTTGTCTTTTCATGCTGTACTAGGGGTTGTTTCTTGCACTTTCCCAAGCTTTCCAAACTTCCATACTCATTCTTTATTTCATCAAAATTAGACATGGAAAAAATAACGTTAATTTCTCTCAAAGCAACTTGAAAAAATCATAGAAATTCTCCCCCATCGCAACATCTCTATACCTGCAAATATGAACGTAGCCGATTCGATAAATTTCCTGCTACAGCACTGTAACAAAACTACGACAACGCCTGTAATAGCTTTTGTAACATTGAAAATTACACTGTGGCTCTCAAGAGGGGAAAATCTAACAATTATGATCAAAACAGATTTGTGCCAGTAACTTTTATCGATGATGAAATGACCAATTCAACGAAAACAGAGGAACAAAAGGATGGCAAATATCCTGAAACAAAAGGAGCAAAGCGGGCTGATTTGACTTCTCTTAAGAGGGGATATACACCAGAGAGGCATCCAACAAAAAAACATAAAGTTGCCACCCCCTCACAGTGCAACGAAATCAAGCGGTAGAGACAGAGATGGCATTTAACAAGCATTTAAACATTAAAAAGTCTCTCTTTGTTTGTCCTTAATGATTGGCTATTAGGACTCCCGATTCGTGGTAGTACGATTTTGTTAATTACTCGTATGATTACAGAGCGAATTGGACTCCACTTGTTCCTATTATCATTGCAACTACCACGTTTACATTTTCGCATAACTTGTAAGTGGTTGTCATCAAATGTCCCCAACAAAACCTTAAGAATTGATTGTCGCACAAACTCCATTCAGTAAGCAATGACAAAGACGATCTTTCAATTTAACGTGTTTATTCGTATTAATTTTATATTTCTCTTTGATATGGAAATTTACCCTCGATTCATAAATTGCAGAAGAATAAGTGTTATCATCCAATTTCTTCCATTTTCCTGAGCAGATAAATTTAGAGATACAGTATATTAAACAAGTATGTGGGTAAGATTCATGAATGCAGATTCACTTCTATAAATCTTAATTAAGCACTAGACCCTGTTTTATCAGGGATCAGCCGTAGATTTGAGACCAAAGCCTCACAATAACAGTGCAATAATGTACAGACAAAGGAGTAAACCAGTTTTGGTCTTTTTTTATGTTTCCTTCATTTTAACAATTACAAACCTTTCTAATGATTGCATAGAGGGGAGAAGCTAGAGAGGGGCAAATTATAGTTAGCTGATTAGATGCCCTTTAATTTAAATTAATTTTTTCCATATATCAACTCTTTACACTCTAAGATCAGTATTAATGTTCTCAACACTCTCCTCGAAACATTTCCTTTGGTACTGACCGAGAGGATTTGTTTTGCAATAAAACCTTTTGGGTTTGCAATCGTTTCCCTTATTTTCATGATTTTAATGAATGATTCAGCAATATTACTCTAAATAAACTAGTTGCTGGTCATGCACTCTTACGGTTTAAAGGTTACAACAAAGCAAGACAAATTTCAGAGAGGAAAAGAGAAATCACATCGGATAAATGGATAGCTCAGAAAAGTAATACATAAGATTCTTCCTTATCGATACAGGAATATCATTGCAATTGTGGCATCAACAATTGTCGGACAGAATCTCTTCATATTTATTCTGGAAACTTTGTATTGTAGCTTAAACAACTGAGACAAGAAACGGTAGGTAAGGTTTAGAGAACCATTTGATGATGTTCTGTAGAACTAATAATTGTTCTGTTGGTCTTTGTTCCGATAGGATTCGGTATGCTAAAGTAAAACTTACTTGTCTTCCGCTCATGGTTCACAGTCCTTCGTCTCTCTAGAAGAAATAGAAAACAAGAATAATTATGTTCTTGAACTGCGCTAATTTCTAAATAAGAAATGGCGAAGAGGACTGACCGAGGAACTCGACAGTTAATTTTCTTAAGAGCGTAGTTCTAATGGAAATTAATCTACTTCAGAGACGTCAGCCAACAAATCACGATAGCGAGCAATTTATTGAAGGACTGGCGATCGAATATCACAGAGGTAGATTTTCGATGTCTTAAGAACCTAAAACATTAACGGACCAGAGTCGCAGTTCGCTGCAACTGGCACACTTCGTTACAGTTGTGTCCAAGATTATCATTTTCCGTTTCTGCACTATTGTGACTAGTGTGTGGGAATTAGGGATGCATTAAAGGATTAAAAGTTTTAGATCCTGGGTATCATCGTCCTAAGTTGATGTATCTTTACGATGCAAACCTTCCGCCATTTTTTAAAATGTTCTTACCTTATCAAGAGGTTTTAAGATTATGTTGCCGTTTAGTACATCGCGATCGAGTGGAAAAAACCTCAACATTTTATTCGCCTGAGGCTATTAAGAACTAAATATTTTGCGGCATTTGCAATGGTTTGAAAAAATACTAAGAGACAAACACTAAATTCATTGTCACAATGAAGACTTACGCTAAATACGGCAGGGGGAAGGCATCGTGCCCATACAAATACTGTGTTTACTCCATGAAGTAACTTTTAGTTATCCTTTATACACTTTGAATGAATGGTCGGGGAATCAACTCGGCAGAAAAACATTTGACCAATTAAAGAATCGCAGTTTCTTCGATGAGGACAGTGGTTTTTTGCAAAACGTGTTTTGTTATGTCTATTGTCTAGTTATGGTACCTAAGCATGCTCTGCAGTTGTTTTTGTTTCCCGAAAACTCTTTAAAATGTGCCCAAACATTTCAAATAATGCTGTTTAAAAGTTCTAGACCTTTCTGTAAATTACTCGATCGTTTTCCTATTCCGTAAAACGCTAGCAAGAGAAAATTTTATCTATAGTCATATCATGCCAAAGGGGACACTGAGGAAATGATCTAGCGTATTCATACTCAACACTCGATCCACAGTGAGAAAATATAAAGTACCTTTTAAATGAAAACGCTGTTTAAGGGTAGAAAAGGGCTCGAAATTTCAGTCAAATTCAACTGATGACACCGTGGACAAGATACTGATGCAACTTTTTTATGCATAACAAACGACTTTCTCATCTTCTCATCTCTGATGACTTTGTTACCCCAGCATTAAGTCTTGATTAGATTGGAGGGTTGCAGGTTTAGAATGGAAGGTCTGTATTTACTTTCAGCGCAGTAAGCATGGAAATAAACTCAGTAATTAAGATAAAAAACTAGATGATTTAAAAGTATGTTAATTATCGGGAATTTTCTAAGAAATAGGACAAGCTGAAATACTAAGCTCTTATATAACATGTCTTGTAAATTAATTTTTTACTTTTCTTGTTTAAAATAAAATTGGTTTAGCTTTTTTAAAGTTGTCATTTCTCATGAAATAGAAGTAATGAAGTGATTTATCACCGAAATATATTAAAGTGTTCAATGAAATATAAGTAAAGCAACGTTGGGCTCTTACTTGGTGTAGTAAACAGAGTCTACATTACACTACATTGTTTTCATTGTTTTCTTATTCCCAGTTGTGATCAAATTCTATTGTGACGTATACTGTTTCCTCTACACAAAGTAAGAGCCCAACGTTGCTTCCTTTTTTAATGCTACATGAGTATTTTTTGTTATAAGTGTCGAGCCACTTCAGATTTATTCCCTTTCTTTAGCGATGAAATTTATAAAATCTCCAGCCTGGCTCTATAACGTTAAGAGCAATCGACAAAAATAGTCGTCGGTGGAAGATTTGGATATGTCCAAACAGAGAACATGTTCTTCTGACTCAAAGGTAGATGAAAATGGTAAATAGACTCTTTCTCTCTATGGGGTTAATGAGTTAGCATTTGGTTTTCTGTTATTCTATTTTGTCAGTTGGGTGAAAGGGAAGATGTACCAGTACCATCTGTTGGGAAAAATTTACTGTTCTTCAGATCTGTGTAATGTTCTTCAAATCTCCTTAGTTCTCATTGGCCAAAGACAGGCTCTAGTGGTCATGTGACGATCAGCAACAGAAAACATCCCACAAATTAAAGCACTTTCAGTTTCAGTTGTCCGTTGAGGCGGAAATAGGTTAAGTTTTCAATCCTAGTTCACTCGGTTTATTAAATAGTTCTTCACAGCTAATTCAGCCGAACAAGAAACGGTAAGTAAGGTTGAGAGAACTATTTGATAGTTGTTCTGTAGGTCATTGTGCCGATAGGCTTCGGTATGCTAAAGTAAAACTTGCTTGCTTTTCGCTCACGGCTTACACTTCCTTCTCTCTCGAGGATAAAGAGAAAACATCATTACATTATTAAATTTACTATTGAACTAAGCTAGTACCTAAATAAAAAATGACGAAGAGAGCTACTGTATACCCTGAGCGAAATGTTTACGTGAGCTGCTACTCGAGAAGTAGTGGTAGTTGACATAACATTACCGAACAAACCGAAACTTTTCCGAAAATCATAGCTCGAAAAATAAATATACGGATTAAAATATGAAAAAAAGAGGCAATAGCAACGTCTTTTTACACGAAATTTTTTCCTTTACGTTCAGGGAATGCTCTGTGGCTGGATCTGAACGGCTGAGGAAAAAATTAAAAATGACAACATTTCAAGACATCATGCGTATAATTCGTTCGTCGAATTCCTTTAACATTACGTTCTCGTTTTCAAATGTAACCACCATCTTACAAAAATCTTTCGCAGAAATCACTCAGCGTCCAGTTAATTGTTCTCAATTTCTACATCGAGGAGTTTTATTTTACTTCTTGGTACAATTCAGTTCACAGTTTTCACCTGAGTTCAGGTAACTGCTATCTTTTCCTTCGGGGAGGAATTGTTGTTTACATTTCGCTTCAGTTGGGTTTGAGCAGGCGAAACCAAGTGACAAGAACATTTCTCAAAGTCGTAGCGTGTAGGGATGTCCAAAATCGACAGTGTCATCACGTATTTGACAAAACCTGCTTAAAGACTTGAAGCCTGACAATGAGTCGGAACGCAGAGCGTAAAATTAGTGTGACTGAGCACGAACCAGAAACGAAAAAGCGTTTCATTTCATTTCTGTGATCATAAGATATTATAAACCAACAAGCGATGGTTGCTGTTTCTTTTCTGGGAAACTAAGTTTCTAAACTAACCTTTAATAATTTTAAACTAACCCAATAGTTTTACCTTAACTGTTAGCTTTACTTCCTTTCCTCAGTAAATCGTTGCATTTTCAGCTCGCAGCATTAGCTGTAAAAAACAAAAAAAGGAACAGATTTGCCTTTAGTGGTCAAGGGAAATTGCTATGACCTTCAACAAGCATCTCTCTTTCCTGGAATGAAAACGGAAATGAGCTCTAAATGACTATTATTTATCCTGATAACAATTCCATGAATCGTCCGACTGAAAATAATCGTTCACATTCAAAAATGCGCACAAGACAGCAAAAGCCGAGATCTAAGTCTAATATATATGAAGTTAAAATTTTTCTCAAATGTTAGAAAAAAAATTAAAAAACATATAAATGCATTATTTAAGGGCAGCTAAGTTGGTTTGCACGTCTGCATCTTTTCGTGCAAAAACCAAAACATAATCATATAATACACGAGAATTGCGAACATTTTAAAAGCGGAATATTGAGCAAAGAAGTTAGATGTTATGATAAGTATCTTTGTAGTTTCCAACTTTGTAAAAGGTGAGCAATTTGGTGATCATTGTTGCTTCGTTCACCCAAGAAAGCGGAAAGCGAAAAATTTGCGATTGCATTATAGGGGAAATGATATGCTCTCAAATGATAAGCTGCGGTATTTCGATTTTACAACTCACCTTCTCGATTTACAACCACAAAGTCCTCAGTTCAGTGCCATTTTGACTTCAACAACGGAGCAGTATTTTTGTGTTTGTATATATTATGGAATTCTTTAATTTTAATTACGGACAAGAAAATACATTCACCCTTTCACCGTTTCGTTCTTGGAAAATGGATGTCACGATCATTCAGGTTTCCAAGAATTTCAACACACATCACAACTTTTCATTCTCTTGTCAAGAGGTCAGATTTCTACTAATTATTCTTCTAGCTCATTTCATTTTTCTTTCCGATGTGTAGAAATTATCAAAATTGATTAAAAAAATTTGTCACACACAACTTTGGCCGATGAGTGACAATATTTCATTCAAAGTGGACCTGTCACGCGAGGTAAAAGTTATCTGAAGAGTTAGGTCACGAAAGCTATTCAAACAAAATGAGACTAAGTATGTTTCTGTCTTTCCCCATATATTGCAATTTAAAAAAAAAAAGGTATCGCATATTTCTTTTTTGTCCTTGAGAATCAAATCTCAGAGTAATGACCCAAAGTATCACGAACATGATTGCAAATTTGCATATATTCACATGTTACACTGGATATCTTGTTGTGTTCGTTGATACTGATCAGTTTCTAAGAATTAGACAGAAAACTCACTTTTAAAGTATGGGATTTCGAAACATTACCAACACTCTCTTATAAAAAAAAAATGCTTTAGCTCAGGGGAAGTTCGGATGCATCTGAAGGAAATCTAATCTTTACAAAGGCCGCAGTTCACGGCAACAAGCTGCGTGATTGTGGTTAGTGCATCGACTTGAAAGTTCCATCCATGGAGAAAAATTGGAAATACTGAAAAGAATCGCCTCAAGTCAACAGTAGTTTTTTTGTAGCTCTCGATCTTCAAAGACGATCGAAGATTTTAGTCACTTCGATTTCTCAATTAAGAAAATGGCGACTCTCGTTTTATAGATTAATGTGACTACTGAACGTGCAAAACTTTAAAGTGTTCTTACCTTTCCTGTTGCCTTCCAGTGCATTGTAAATGAGTGGACTGAAATCATTTCGCTTTTCGTTCCCCTTAACCTTAATTTTTTCAGAAGGCACAATTTTGAAATAACCACAGTGAGATAGACAACGAATTAACTTTATTCAGGATTTTCTAGGAAAATGATCATGCAATCGTTTGAGGATTTCGACACTTCCGGTGTAATCAGATACGGAAACAAAAATTCCAACCCCAAAATACTATATTTACTATAAGTAAAATTCGCTTGTTGCCCTTTAGCACATATTGGATCAATATCGTGAAAAGTTTAGTTGCAAAATACTTTGATTGATTCATAAATGTAAATTGCAAGCTTTAAGATAACAACAAAGATTTTCTTCGAAACGTACTCGATCATTACCATACTTCCTTGTCACGGTAGCTAAGCATGCACATTGTGGTTATGTTTCGTTTTTCCGGGAAACTTCTTAAAATGCGAAAAAACATTTATCAGAATGCTGCTTAAAACTTCTGAGCATTTCCAGAGGTTCCAATAAAAGGCCCGATTATTAGCGGTCTACCATCGGCTATAAGGTCCTGTAAGACGTCATACCGCCGTTTGATTAGCCAGGTTCCGTTTAGCAGTTCCAGTTTAGTAGGTTCTTGTGTTTGGATTTCACGTTACGGCCTCTCATACTTTCGGCAGCCGTTCAAGGAAAAAAAATTATGAAATCCCCTGTATTTCTGCGAACTACCGATCAAAATAGTGCTTTAAAAAGTGCGGAAATATGAGATGAATGCTTCTGTTAAAAAGCGTTGGTTAAAGAAAGTTAAACTTACGTTATGCTATGCCGAGAGGGACTCGTAGGTATGGATCGTCACTTGAAATTAGTACGTATTCAGAACTAGAACATACATGTAATCTCGGGAGGAAACTGAGAAATAATTTTAAACTTGATTATAGAATGCTGGGATTGGAGACGCATAAATACGGTTCAATCATCAAATTTATGCTAATTTTCTTGAAGAATTACGAACGACTTTTTCGTTCCTGTCGGCTTTTTCAATCATGATCCTTAATTGTGATTTAGATTGGAGGTTATACGTCCAGAATAGAAGTTCTGCGCCTTTCTCTCCTTCATCCCTTTATATGTTTGCAGTGAAATAAACTCAATCAAAAAGCTCTGAAAACATCGCAGTGGAGGTATATATGTAAATGTTTTTAGCGGTCTTTCTAAGAAAAAAGACAGAACGGTGATATAACTCGACTCCTTCTTTCTTAAGGGGTCAGGGAATCAACATGTTACAGAAGAAGTTACTTAGGTGTAAGGGAACAAGTATTGATTTCAGGAAATGTACCTTAGCACGAGCTGTTTGGAAGTATTTAAAGACCATTTTATTAAATGATAAAAAGTGCTCTTAGCTGCCGTTGACCGACCTAAGACTGGCAAAGGCTACTAGCGTGGGCTGTTTAGGTCGCGTGACAGGCTCATGAAACGATCGGCAAAACAACCAGCAAAGTATTTTCAGTTTCATTTTTAAGCAGACATAAAAGTTAGGCATTAATCCCTAGCTTCCTCATTGTGGTAAATAGTTTTTCACAGTTCATTCTGTGCAACCAAAAAAGGTAAGAAAGGTTGAGAGAACTAGTTAATCATTATTCTGTAAATCAGTGTTCCAAGCGACCGATTTGCTTCGCTGCGGCTTATTTATCATCCGGTTATGGTTACCAAAGTTCCTATTCTTTCAAATAGAAATGAAAAACAAGATTAATTTCCCTAACTTAGCTTATTTCTTTATAGAAAACGAGGGAAAGATCTATCGATTTCCTGGGCGTAATGTTTTTGCGAGCTGTCCATCGAGAAGTGGTAGTGGACAAAACATTGAACAAACTGAAAGATTTCCGTAATACCTCTTCGCTCGACAAACAAATATACGGATAAGAATATAAAAAAAAAATAAGAGGGCAAGAAAAATAAATATTTGAGAGAAATCCTTTCCTTTACGGTCAGGAGACGCTATGCAGTTAGATCAGAACGGCTAAAAAGCAATTTAAATGACAAAATTTCAAGACATCGTGGCTATGATTTTGTTCATCGAATTCCCGTT